AAATGCCAAACGTGTCACAAAAACAGTCGCCACAGAATTTCAATCTTATCGCATGTATTGACTTACGGCATCCTTTTTCGTCAGACAGATCTTCGCAGTCATACTGAAGGTTACATAGTTTTGACTTGTTGACACATTCACGGTTAGCACATGTGAATTCGGTATAATGATCACACTGTCTGATATTGTGCATCATACCACAAACACTCAAATCGTTTTCGTCAGAACCGTCTCCACAATTGTCTACGCCGTCACAACGCTGGTACATCGGGATGCAATGTTTGTTGTCACAAGAGAAACGGTTGTCGAGTGTACAACTCATGTTGGCTGTGATAAATAAGTAAAAATTACAATTAATTTTTTATAATTATATTTTGTTTTTATAAAGAGAACACTAGGTACTCACAGCAGAGTTCAGGCGCTTCGTCGGAGCCATCACCACAATCATCTTCGCCATCACAGATCTCGGAGTTGAAAACACACAGCTTAGTAGTCTTGCACTCAAACTTGGACTTAGGACAGTATCGACCTTCAGGGTACCTGGGTGGGCAGCCGATTTCATCACTGAAATCTCGACAATCTCTGTCGCCGTCACATCGGAAGTACGATGCAATGCAATGGCCACTCTTGCACTGGAAGGTGCCGTTCTTACACTGGAACCCACCACAGTTGAGTTCATCCGAGTTGTCACCGCAATCGTCATCGTGGTCACATCTCCACTGGCCCGGTATGCATTTACCGTTGGAACACTGGAACTCAGACTCCGAACACTGACGATAAAGTCCTTTACACAGGTCTTCTGACTCATCTGAGTTGTCACCACAGTCGTTCTCAAAGTCACACAACCATCTCTTAGGAATGCATCTGTTGTTTTTGCACTGATAGTCCGTAGCCGCTTGACATTTCGGACAGTTCTCTGGCAGCTCGTCCGAACCATCACGGCAATCATCCTTACCGTCGCAGAACAACCATTTCGGAATGCACCGGTAATTGGTCTTTCCTGGACATCTTTGCCATCCAGTCGTACAATTCCGTTGTCGACACATGTAAGCCGGTTCGTCTGAGTCATCACCGCAATCGTTGTCAAAATCGCAAACCCACAACTTCGGTATACACCGACCGTTCTTACACGAAAATTCTGATTTCGGGTCACACTGTCTATTATCTAAATAAAAAAAATTTAAAAATTTAAATTAAAAGATAATTAAATATTATGCTGCATGATACTTTGCAATTGTTCGATTTATAATTTAAAAGGTTAAATACCTATTTGTCAACATCTAAATGTTTTGGCATAATAAAAATTGTTAAATAGATTGTGAAAATCTGTATGATTACATTAACTTTCAAAAACCACTTACGGCACATCGCTGGGTCTTCGTCACTTCCGTCTTTACAGTCCGGTTCACCATCGCACTTCCACGAATCCAGTATACACCGTCCGTTAGAACGACATTTGAACTCGATGCTCGGGCACGGTAATTCGCAATTTTTCTCGTCAGAACCGTCTCCGCAATCGTCGACACCATCACAAATAGTGGCCGACGGCGTACAGTTCCGGTTGGTGCACTGGAAAGCTCCTCCACGGCAATATCTCGTGGGACACTGGCTTTGGATTTCGTCTGTTCCATCAGCGCAATCTCTCTCACCGTCACACCTAAAAGTAATTTATGTTATAAATATTAGTTTTGATTTTCAGCTCAAACATTGAATAAACGAGAAAAACCTATCTCTATATGAACGTACTTCCAAAACCACGGGATACACTTTTGGTCATTTTCTTTACATTCATGCTGGCCCACAGTGCAGTTGGATATGCAAGTCTTGTTATCACGTGGATCTAGGTAAAACTGGTTAGGACAGGCGCACGTGAATGATACCGGGCTCTTGGCATCTAGATAACCGTCGGGAGACGTATCCACTCCAGGAACGGGCCGCAATAGACACAGGTGTGAACAACCACCGTTGTCGCCGCCACACGGATTGGCAAAAGGAATTTGCCGCAAATTGTGATAGACATGCAAATCGTATGGCCGATGTGTGGTGTTCCTGAGTACTCTGTAATCATGACCTATAAACACGATTTTCAATATATTAATTACGCTTGACCGATTGCGGATAGATAGATTCCACTAGTGTCATTAAGAATACTTTGAAATGTATAAAATTGATCTATCAAATATAATCTTGATCAGTCATGTAATATATGTACTTAATACTCAAATATTTAAGGTGACTTTCAAAATTAATTATGGTCTTTATGTGTTTTTGAACAAATACATTAAAACTGGATGAATATGGCTTATTAGTATGTTACCGACCTGTAAACTTATTCGACTTGACTATCGCTTTCAAGTTCCAATCCGTCCAGAACAACTCATCGTCAAACAATGTGAGAGCGAATACGTGTGGAACGCGTTCACCCGAAAGTACAATGTGTTTGTGTCTGCCTTCCAGATCAGCTGAAGCTATGTAGTCTAAATGAGCGTCAGCCCAATAAATACGTTCTGTAAAGTAATCTATGGTAAGGGCATTTGGCCAAGCTATGTCGTTTTCGTGTGTCAATATTTGCGTAAAGTTGCTTCCGTCCATGCCGATTTTCCCTATGTAAGCCTGTAAATACAATGAGAATATTTAATATTTACGACATATACTTTAAAAGAAAGATGAAAACTAAACGTACTAATAATTTCTTCCCATTATCCAAAATATAAATTTACAAATTTTTACGCATCGAATAAAAAATAATTTATAGTTAAAATGTTTTGTTTTTAAAAATTCAAAGGGTAGTGTTATGAATAAATACTTTTTATTTTTAAATTAAGAAAACTGATAAGGAAATTTGCAACGCAGGTTAAATGGAATACTTAGTGTTATATTTGAAAATACTATGAATATTTTTATCATATACCTGAAGATGCCAACTTGTGAAGTACAAGTAACCGGTTCCCGGGTGCACAGCTATTGCTCTTGGGTCTTGAATGCCTGCCTTGAGCGTTCTCCTATTGGTACCGTTAAGTTCGGCCACCTCCAGATGTTTGCTGTGCCGGTCCAACCAATACAGCTTCCTGCCAACCCAGTCAACGGCAATGCCTTCCAGACCATGGCTGTCATGTCTGATGATCTTCTCACGTTCTGTACTGCCCACTTTAGTCCTGTA